GGGGAGAGGGTGGCTCCGAGCCAGTTCCTCCTGCGTTCTCCATGGAGCCGAGCCTCCCACAGGCCCCCCTGCCCGACACACCCTCCTCTCAACTCCGCTGTCGAGCAGGGCAGGAATGTGGCCCTCCCAGTGCAGCCCTGGGGTACCCTCGGGTGCCGCTACGGGCAAGGCCAGCAGCCCTCTGCCTTGCTGAGCCGGGAGGAGGGTCTTCCCTGATCTCCAGCTCCTCTGCTGTCCCTGCAGATTGCCAACATGCTCTACCTGGAGTCTCCCGCTGGCGTCGGCTCCTCGTACTCCGAGGACAAGAAGTACGCCACAAACGACACTGAGGTAAGTGACCTGGGCTGCTGGGAGGGACCTGCCTCCTGCCTGCCCCAGCCTGGGCACTGCGGGTCCTGCCTTGCTGCCTGACCCTGTCTCCTCCTCGCTGCAGGTTGCTCACAACAACTACCTGGCGCTGAAGGATTTCTTCCGGCTTTTCCCTGAGTACTCCACGAACGATCTGTTTCTCACGGGGGAGAGCTACGGGGGAGTCTACATCCCCACGCTGGCAGAGTGGGTGATGCAGGACCCCAGCCTCAACCTGAAGGTGAGCAGCTGGGCTCTGCCGCTGGCCTGGCCTGAGCTGGGGAGCAGAGGGCTTGGCACGGCCTCGCTGGGGCTCTGGAGCGGTACTGGGGTGGGGACCAGCTGCACAGCGGCCATGTGCGGCCCCCTCTGGGGCGTAGGGCGGGTCTGGCCTCCCAGCCTTTCATCTTCTCCTGGGGTGCTGGCAGTGGCTGCTGGTGGACGTGTCTGTCCCTGCCGCGTGGGACCAGGGGAGTGTTCTCAGGCACCTCCAACCCTTCCTGTTCCCTCCGTGGAGTAAACAGTGCCGCATCTGCTTCCTGCCTGATGCCGCTGCGGCCGCCCTGTGGGGAGCTGGAACACAACAGAGTTGTTTGCTTGCCTTGCAGGGTATCGCTGTGGGAAACGGTCTCTCATCCTACGAGATCAACGACAACTCCCTGGTTTACTTTGCCTATTACCACGGCCTGCTGGGGACCGAGTAAGAGGAGGGGGAGTGCTGCCTCTAGACGCGCTGTCCCTGTGCGAGCAGGACGGGCGCATGGCGTGGAACGGGGCTGGCTGCATTGGTGGTGTGCAGGACGAGGGAAGCTCCTGGCCTGACTTGGGCCAGCAGCCAGGCTGTGGACATGGCCCCTTGTCCTGAGTGGTTCCCATGGGCACGTTTGTTCATGGGGTGCACAGGGCAGCAGGCCAAGCCGCATGCTGTGCAGCTGCTGGACAGGGAGCCTGCAGCATGGCTGTGGCCACGGCCACCGGCTTTGTGTCGGTGTTGCCGTCTGGGCAGTGCGGTGCAAATCCCCTGGTCTCTGCCCACAGGCTGTGGAAAGACTTGCAGACCTTCTGCTGCTCCAAAGGGAAGTGCAACTTCCATGACAGCTCCAACCTGAACTGCACGCTCAAGGTGAGGGGAGCCGGAGCCCCTGAGTGTGTGTCCAGTGCCGGTGTCTGTGAGCAGCACCCACCTGCCTGGCACTGGATGGGCCCATGATCCCTTGAGTGTTCTGCCGAGTCCCAAACCCTTCTTGCGGCTTGTTGCAGATGGAGGAGATGATTCAGATTGTAGAGGAGTCTGGCCTCAACATCTACAACCTCTATGCCCCGTGCGATGGTGGTGTGCCTGGGAGCATGAGGTGAGAGTGGCCCCAGAGGAAATGGGTCTCCAGGCACTGGTTTGCTTTGGTTTGCAGCATGTGGC